GACTTGAATTTAGAAATGAAACAATATCAATGATTAGTTTAAATGAAGTTAACCCTATAATAAAATTGAACTTATAAATAAAACTATATCCGTAAATTGAATTTAAAGTTAGAAGAGCGCTTGTGTCAAATTTGTAGACGAAGTTTGAAGATCTTGAATTTAGAGTTACTCAAATACCCAATATCTTTGAAAAAGACCCACGGTAAATTTTTTATCATACAGAGCAAGACCAACCAGAGCTCCTCTGGTCCTTGGTCCATGAGCGTTTCGATAATTACACATTAGAAGTTGATGGGAAGCAATTCTTGGTGAGCTTGTTACCAATGTCAATAAATGGGTTCCATACTGCAGTAGAGATGAATTGGTTGGTTGAGAACCTTATCAAGATTACTTGACCCAAGACAATGATATAGATATCCTTGTCAAATGACGAATAAACAACCATTTACGGAGAAAAAAGTAGAGGGGCTACCCCAATTATCTTGTCTTTACATGCAAGTGCCTATCCAAGGGGCATCTCCCATATTTGGCTTATGTCGTGGATGCAAATTTCTAGAAAAAGATTGAAAATGTCGAAATAGCTTGCGAGTACCCAGATGTTTTTTTGAATGAACTACTTAGCTAATCACCAACTACATGTGAAGTTTCGTATTGATCTTGTTTTGGGTTCAACGCCAATTGCTCGTGCTCCCTACCATCTAGAACCATCTGAAATATAGGAAATGATGACTCTATTGTAAGAGTTACTCGATAATGGATTCATGAGGACGAGATTATCATCTTTAAGAGCTCCGGTTCTTTTCATGAAGAAGAAAGAGACTATGCGGATGTCCATAAATTATAGAGAACTGAACAAGGTGATGGTAAAGAACAAGTATCCACTCCACTCTTTGGCGAATTGCAAGGGCCAGGAGTGAGACTTAGGGGTGAAGATGTTTTAATTGGAAGGGTGTCCTAGGCTACACCTGGAGTAATCCCGGTAAATTGTGATTGCAAGAAATCAGCCCTGATAAACTCAGTGGCCACAATTGTTGTGTATGCCTGTAATTAAAGCCTCAGTTGATGAGATATTCCACTACATCCCTCAGGGCCTGGGTGAAGAAGTTTTGAAGTTGGCTATTTGGAGAAGATATGAACACTTCAAGTTCTTGGTGATGCCATTTGGTTTGACAAAATCTTGCGCAATATTTATATGTTGGAACAAAAATGTTGAATTCAAGTCCCTATGTTTAAAATGTTTTATAATGTTTTGTATTGTACTTTCCTTTTATAGAAGGTTAGTTTTATTTCCTTTTAGAGTGTTGGTATAAATAGTTTGTGTTGTTAGTTTTGTTAGTAGTTAATCATAATTAAGAGTTAAATTGAGACTGAGAGAGATTAGAGATCAAGAACACATTGTACTTACTTGGAATTAATCAAGTTGGCCGACATATTCTATTCATCTTATTCTTCTTGATTCTTATTATGAATTGATTGTTATGACTTGAATATGGGATCACATTATAGACATGATGAACCGAGTTTGTTACCCCTTCTTATACAAGTTGGTAAATGGATCCATTGACAACATCCTTGTATGCTCAAAGGATGAATTCGAGCATGAACACCATCTTAGGGAAATCCTTGGAGTTCTTCGAAGAGAAAATTGTTCGCTAAGTTCTCCAGATGCGAATTTTGCTTCAGGAAGTTCACTATCTAGGCCATGTGGTAAGTCGACATGAAGTAAAGGTGGACCTACCTAAGACTGAAACAACGATGAATTAGGATCCACCAACAAGCCCAATAGAGATTAGAAGTTTCTTGGGATTAGTCAACTACTACCGAAGGTTCATTTAAGACTTCTCAAAGATTGATTCACCATTAAAGGCCTTCACAAATAAGAACGTCAAGTTCGTGTGGTCTGAAGCTTCAAGACCAAACTTTCAGAATCCTAAAAAAGAAATTTAGTGAGGCAAGTAGTCTTATCTCTGCCTGAGGGATCAGAAGATTTTGTGGTCTTTAGCAATGCCTCCAAGATGTATTTGGGATCTGTGTTGATGCAAAGAGGAAAAGTGATTGCTTATGCGTCCCGTCAACTGAAGGAATAAGAGAAGAACTACCCAACCCATGACTTGGAATTAGCAGTGATAGTGTTCGCCTTGATATTGAAGCAACACTATCTTTATGGCACAAAGTGTACTCTTTTCACTAACGATAAAATTTGGAAGTATATTTTCAATCAAAAAGAGATAAATATGCATCAAAGGAGGTGGATAGAACTACTAAAAGATTATGACTGCGAGTTTCTTTACCACTCTTGTAAGGTGAATGTAGTAGTGGATGCCTTAAGCCAAAAAGGACATAGTGGAAGTATTCAAGGTTCACTCTGAAAGATCGACATAATATCGAATTTAATCAAGATAATTGAAGTGTGCCAAGCCAATGCACTTCTAGAAGATAATCTTAAAGCAGAAGTCATGGTAACAATATGACTTGCTAACAGAAAATGGTTATGGTCTAAATCTTTTTGGAGGCCGAGTCTGGGTACCCAAATTAGTAGGAAACAAGGAGTTGCTCTTAGAGAACGCTCATAAGTCCAAGTACTCCATCCATTATGTTAGTACAAAGATGTATAAGGATTTGAAGTTGAATTATTGTTGGCTCATCATGAAGTTTGATATGACCAGGTTTGTGGAAAGATGTGTTACTTGCCTACAAGTCAAAGCGGAGTACCAAAGGCCCTATGAAAGCCTCCAATCCTTGGAGATTCCTTAATGGAAAAAGAACACATTACCACGGACTTCGTGTTGATCCTCTCTCTCATTGATTTGATGATAATCCCTTTTACCTTTCGAAGTATTATTGTTTTTGTCTTTTCAGTTCCAACGATCATCACTGAGTCTGTTCACTGATCGCTAAAACACGCATTGTAATCCTACAACGATAGTGATACTTCAAGAAGAAAAAACTCACACGAAAGAACCTTCAGTGAATGTTGAAGACTGAAACTGAAAATTAGTGACTGGCACGTTCATGATTTGAAACGGTATTAAGTTATTACAACCTGGTCAACATATGTGTGAAGACCGCACAAGCCTCAGTGTATGCTGAAGAGACCTCCAGCGTTATTCTAGCATTCAGCGATCAAATGAAGCGTGCCATGCACGATTATTTTTGTCTTGTCCTTCCATACACAAAGGACAAACCCATACCCTTTCAAGAGGATAGTACTGCACGGAGCCGACTAGTTGACTCTAATGCCCACCAACTCCATGAAAGAATGTCTGCTCATGAATAGACAAATGTACTATTCACTATTGCAAAGGACAAGCTTTTCTCTTAAAGCTTGACATGTGTTCCAACCCTTCTTATTTGTATTTAATGCAATGGATATAAATAGCTAAGTGCTCTCTTCATACAAGAGAGATCTCACGTCTATCAAAAGCACACATACGCTTATCTTCAAGCAAGTTAGGATCTCTCTCAAGAATTCTAAAGTTCTTACCCAAGAAGAACATCTTTAAGGTCTTTATCTTTTCGGCAAATATTTTCTATTTGCTAAATATACTTGTGTGTAATCTTAATATTGTTTTAGATAGGTTATCTTTACCTTTTCTATTTCCGCAAACAATCTGCAAAAAATCTGTATTGATCATTCTTTATCAATATATATATATATATTTAAATACGAAAGTTTTCTGTGTTTGTATTCTTCCCCCCCTTCTACAAACTGTTCCTCTAAAACTCTTGTGGACCCGGCTTGGGTCTAGAATCTTGGACCACAAGTCTAAACCTGAAGATATTGGTATGTTCGCACCAATGCTTGCCATCGCTCATGGCATAGGTATGTCATCTACCCCTTCCTCTCACTCCCACAGGTGATCAGTACTGAGGCAAACCCTCCTCAGTCTATCCCTACCACCACCATATCTTTTAAGAGGATCTCCACACAAGCCACTCTTGTTCCTCCATTCAGGGCCAAGAAAGACAAAAAGGGGCCAACCAAGTTGCTGGCTGTTACCTCCTAACAGGTTTCAATCATTGAAACAAGCCTTATCCTCGAGGCACTCTCTCTTCTACCCCTACCTAGCTTTTTAGTGATCTCCTCAGACGTTGTCGTACAAGTGGCTTTTCTCCCAAATGCCTCAGTGAATCAAATCACTAAAGGTGTTAATATCATCATTGCCACTGCTGAACTCTCACTTCTACCTTTCTCAGCCTCTCTCCTTCCCTCCTTCTTTGGTCTCACACATGTTGGTGATTCATCAGTGATTGTCCTCACTGGTGATGAAGCAATCACCATAGAACCTGAGGTGGCTCCTCTCGAGGTGCCTCAGTCACAAGAAGCCTATCCTCTCGAAGGCAACCTTGAGAGAACCAGCGTCCATCCTTCAGATAATGCTGAAGACCCTTCAGGTACTCTACCATCTTCCTACCCTTTCATTTCTTCTAACCAAGAGCTTCCTTATGCTTAGTTATCTTCTTTTTCAGGTCCTTTTGCTGCAAAACCTTCAGCCATGGAGACTGATTATGATATGGCTGAAGATGTCAAACTCATATTCACTGCAGTAGCAACTGTCATGGACAAAATGGACAAGGTCCACCAAGGCATGCCTATCAAGGAAGACCTCACCTCAGGCCTCTCTACTGTCAAAGCTGAGGTTAATGAGGTGAAGGAGTTGTTGTTTGCGGTTCAAGTTGATCTATGCACCTACACTGAAGCCATCATTGTTTTAAATAGCAAGGTTGATGAAGTGCAAATCCAGCTTGCCAGGCATGGTGAGCTGATGGAGCAGAAACTAAACCTTCTTCAACGCCCCTCATCGATTCCTGAACCTTCCTTCACATTTGTTGATCGACATTTTATGGATCAAGTGCTTCAGCTTAATCTCCTCCAAGCTCAGGCTATGTCCGACCTAGAGCAGTGCACATAAGATATTGTTAAACGTCTTGATGATCTCACCTCTAGTCTTGCTGATGACAAAGAGGGAGAGAAAGACATACCTCCTGTTGCTGGTATAATGCCGTTTGAAGCTGAAGTGGAAAGGTCTGAAGCAGAAGAAGTCGAAGGTTCTTTACCTCAAACCTTGATCCTGCAATCTGAAGTTGAAGCTGTAGAACCGCATATTCCTATCCCTCACTCTGAGGATGTCGTTATATCCCATCAAGCTAAAGCTGAAGCTGAAGCCGAGGATGATGACGATGCCATCATAGCTCTTGTTGAAGACGAAGACCTTCCCAGCACCTCTACAACTAATGCTGGTGATGAGGAAGATGATGAAGAAGATGATTCTCTTTCCCTTCCTGATGTTGGACAAGACTTAGGTGGTGATGATGATGATGAAGATGACGATGATGACAACTTCACTATTCAATACCACACCAGACCTGCCCCAGCTCAAAAAGGAGTCTCTCTCAGGGAATTTTCATCCAAGGGGGAGAAAGAGAAATCTCAAGGAAACCAACACACGACCTCCTAGAACAAAAGTGTTGCTAAAGATGGGAACCTAGCTATTTTCTTCAAGCTTATTGACCACACAAGGGTTGGTCAAAGCTCCAGGCTTGTTCCCTTTGTTTCTCAATCCCTCTCCTCTCCTATCACCTCCACCATTCCCTATGGTCATCCAGATGAAAGGATACCTTTCGTCCCAACATCTGGAGCTCTCTTTGACCAACAGATGACTTAGTTGAGGGAGTACCTCGACCAAACCAGAGAAAAAATTCCTCTTCGTACCTCTGGTTGTGGTGAGTTCAACTTTCTCATAGATGCTGAAAGAGAGGAAGTGCTCAAGGCCGAGGAAGAACTTCATATTCAACATCAACAAACTGAAGACAACCTCAACCTAGCCAAGTCACTTGTTGTTAAAGTTCTCCCCAAAGGAAAGTCGAAGAAGATGAACCCCGGGCCCAGACTTAGCTGCTCTCACAAGCTGAACATGAACATCAAAGAGCATTGGCGCTGAGGGACCGTGATAAGAGATGGAGCGAAGATCGTGTAAAGAAAAGAATAAGTCCCCATCGTATTCCAAATGTCACAATCAGCGTATGGATGAAAGATGGAGGAATGCTCATCTCCATCGTTATCACCAGAGATAACCTTGATGTGGTCACTGAATATCCTTCTTACCTTGGTCAATATGGCTATGGTGAATGATTGGAAATATGATAAGCCATCCAGTGCTCAAAGTTAAGGCACAAGCAGATTATCTAAGACATCCTCAATGATCTTATCAAGAAGATGTCCAGGTATATTGTTGTTCCTTCAGTACCAGCATTAATCCTAGAAAGACGAAGAAAACCTTCAGATCCTAATGATAGACCAACTCTGAGGAACGAACATGAAACTAAGTTCTCTTTAGAGGAAATCCTAAAGGACTCGAAGAAGCCAAATGTCTCTATGTTGTATCTCTCTGCGCCAGCGAAGGGTCCTTATACACCCAAACACTGTGCATTTCAAGCCTGAGTATGGATTTATATTCATTAACTATGATGGCAAGTACAACTTTCAAAGAGTATCTGAGTTCTATCTCTGTATAATAGAACACCTCAAATTTCTATGATCTTGGTTGGATAATGACCTAAATGGTGAGACAATGGACCGCAGGATCAGAAAGGAATATCTACGTCGAAAGAAGCTTGGAGAAGAAGTACTTGTGTACATCGACTTCAGCGACTTAGATATTTTAAAACTTTCTATCTTGTAAATCTTTTTTTCCTTATCTCTTCTTTCAGTATACAACTTATATGTAATAGGTTCAGAACTTACTGATGTAACACTTGTATCTTTCCAATGAATAATATGAGTATTTCTCCAGTATCACTGAAAAAGATCTATGAAAGAGTAATAGGGACATGTATCTATGAGTTCTAGTTTACTCTTACATTCACTGACAATTTTCAGTCAGTGAATAAGCTTTCAATTTCAGTTATCATAACTTGTACTTGTTTCTCTTAAATTTGTAATCCTTTACAACTTAAGTAAACTTATATAAGAAAACTAAACCACTAAAAAAGATCCCAAAATAGTTAAAAGGGACTTGTACTTTACTTGTAACTTTTTCTTACTATTGTAACTCAGGCAATTCTCTTTATGTTGCTTTGTCATCATCAAATAGGGGGAGATTGTTGATCCTCTCTCATTGATTTGATGATAATCCCTTTTACCTATTGAAGTATAGTGTTTCTATATATTCAGTATCAACGATCATCATTGAGTCTGTTCAGTAATCGCTCAACATGTATTGTAACTCTCTAGTGACTGTTAGATAAAACTCACATCAAAGAACCTTCAGCAATGTTAAAGACTGAAACTGAAGACTAGAGACTAGCGCGTTCGTGATCTGAAGTGGAATTCAGTGATTACAAGCTCGTCAACATATGTGTGAAGACTGTACAAGTTCAACAAATGCTAAAGAGACCTCCGGCATCATCCCAACATTTAGCGATTAAATGAAGCTTACCATGCATGTTTGTTTTTGTCTTGTCCTTCCACACACTAAGGACAAACCCATACCTTTTCCATAGTATAGTACTATACAGAGCCACTCAGTTGACTCTATTGTGCTCACCAACTCTATGGAAAGATGTCTGCTCATGAACAACCAAAAGGATTGTTCACTGTAGCAAAGGACAAGCTTACCTCCAAAAGCTTGATACGTGTTGTGTGCCTTCTGAATTGCATTTAATGCAACGGATACAAATAACGGAGTGTTCTCTACTCTATTTTCAATCTTCCTCTCTAAAAAATTTACCCAAGAAGTTACTTCTCTCACTACTCTCTCTCTCTCTCTCTAAAGAGAAAGAACCACTTTAAACAAGTGAAGAACACTTTTCTAAGTCTTTATTTCTTACAACAAATCTTTTCTCTTTGGTAAGTGTAATAGTGTGTATCTTTAGATTGTTTATATAGGTTTCTTTACCTTATCTTTTTTGCAAATAATCTGTAAATTTGTATTGATCATTCTTTATGAATATGTAATTTTTAAAAATGAAAGTTTCTGTGTTTGTATTCATCGCTCCCTCTTCTACAAACTATAACTCTTGTAGATCCAGCTGGAACCAACAAAAGTTCAAACATCAATAAAATCATGGGATGAAAAAAGCAAAACCAAAACCAAAAACCAAACAAGAAAGTTAATGATTATTTCAACCATTCAAAAATTTATTCAACACAACAAACAAACAACAATTAAGTTTTATCCATACAAACATCTTAATATATAGAAACAACTTAATCTATACAATATTCAATGGGAAAACAACCAAACACCCACTAAGAAAAAATAAATATATAAATTGTATATCATGCATGTATATTTAATTTTTCTAACTTCTATAAGCAAAAGCATTTGATTTAACAATTGATGTCATCTTGAAGTTAAGTGAGGTAGAGACCTATGAGCTTTTTAAGAAGATTAGTATTCATTCTTCTTGTTATGGATAATAATTTTATGTATCAGTTATTGCTTAGAATCCAACTTGTAGATAGCGTTTGGTACGTAGACATGATTGGACATGACAGAACTAGATAGGACAATAGGATAGGACTAGACAGGACTAGACATAACAAGTGTATGTCTGGTGTTTGGTACAACTAGGACTACACGAGACAGAACTAGACAGCCTCCAAAAGTTATTTGATATTTTAAATATTATATAATAGTTATAATTAACACAAATAAAGTAAATTATTAAAGAATTTAATTTATAAATACTTGTACACATTTTTCATATAAATGAATACATATATATAATGGTACCAAATTAAAATGAAAATTTTGATATAATTGATGATATTAGTAGTGATGGTGGAGGTGGTGGCGGCCGACGGTAGTATTGGCAAAGGACGGTGGTGGTCGGTGGTTGACGATGGTTACGGAGGTAGAGGAAATTGTGGTTTGTGGATGACAGTGGTTATAGAGGACGTGAAGATGGTGGATTGTGATGGTGGTGGTGGTTGACAATGGTGGAGGAGGTAGTTATGGTTGATGTAGTAAAGATAGTGGCGATGGTGGTTATGGTGGAGGTGAGGTGGTAATGGAGGGTGGTGGTCAATGATCGACGGTGGTCGTGGAGGTCGTGGAGGAAGTTGTTGCAGTAGAGGAGGAGTTGGAGGTGGCCAACGATGGTAGTGGTGGTGGCAATGGATGATGGTGGTCGATGGTTGATGGTGGTTGTAGAGGTGACAATGGACAGTGTTGGTCAGTGGTCGACAATGGTTGTAGAGGTGACAATGGACAGTGGTGGTCAGTGGTCGACGATGGTTGTGGAGGCCATGGAGGAAGTTGTTGCGGTATAGGAGGAGTTGGAGGTGGCCAAAGGTGGTAGTGTTGGTGGTGGTCGGTGGCTGATGGTGGTTGTAAAGGTGGAAACGGATGGTGGTAGTCGGTAGTTGATGGTGGTTGTGGAGGTTGTTGTAGTAAGGAGGAGCTAGAGGTGGCGAACGACGGTAGTGATGGTGGCAATGGACGAGGGTAGTCGGTGGTCGACTATGGTAGAGGTGGCGATGGTTGTGGAGGCGATGAAGGATATTGTTGTAGTGGAGAGGAGGTGGAGGTGGAGGTAGCCGCCGATGGCAGCAGCGGTCGAAACTAGCGGTGATGACCATTAAAATATATCAAACTCGGGTAGATTAGTAATATTTTAGTTTCTGTCTCGTTTTTGTCCCATCTTGTTCCACTTATTTTGGTGGAACAAGAAAAAAACCTCTTTTGTCCCAAGACAGTTCTTGTCCCTGTATCATGTCAAGCCAAACGTGGGATAATGAGTTCTTGTTCTGTATCATGTTGCGCCAAACATGGGACAATGAGTTTTGTTCCATCCTGTCCTGTCCCGTACCCTATACTAAACACTGCGGAATGTATTTCTTGATTTTAGCTTTTGTGGACATGTAGTGACCCTATGTGTTAATTTATTATTTAGTGCTTACTTTCTATAAATTTTACGAATATGTACCAAAGATTGTCCTATTCTCTTAATGAGAGGGGGTTCGATTCCCCACATTAGCAATGACAAAAGCAAGGGCAAGATAGGAGAATTGGATACGATAATAAGGACACCATTTTTAACCCGTTTCCATCCTTATATGAAGGACCATATCACACAATTTTATATGGTCTCTCAATTTTAAACAAAGTTAAATTCTAGTATTTTATACATGATTTTGAAAATTTATTACATGATCATCTGATTTGTAAATATGAGTCGTCGTTTACCATACACTTATCCGGGTAAGCGCTTATCAAGTCAAATTACCTTACGGGATGAATATGGTAAAAACTAAAAATCTTACCTAGTAAGAGCGAGACAAGAATCAACAGTCTTATCCGGTAAGTGAGGACGACAACTCTTACCACGGTAAGCACTTACTGGGTAAATTGTTACATACGGTGCCGTTTTGGTGGACTAAAGTCTTACCCGATAAGTAAGTGTTAGTGTTAAATTTTACCGATAAGCGCTAATCGGGTAAGTGTTTGATAAACGGCCCTTAGTTACGATATTTCAAAATGTGAAACTTACAACAAAAATAATCATAACAATTTAAGTTGCATTTAATGGCAAGTGACTCTTTGTTTATAATGTATTTATGAATAAAATATAAGTTTTAATTTTATTAAGTTAGAGATGTTGTTATTAAAAATTATATATAACTTTGTTGTCTATTTATATGCAAAAAGTATAGGTTTTAAGAGTATTTCCTGGCATACGCCTGCTCTGACGAAATCTTTAGGGATGATTCCATAATATAGTACGGTGGCGGAACTTTAGGGCACCCTTGGGGAAATGCACCCATTGTTGTAGCTAATCGAGTAGCTCTAGAAGCATGTGTASAAGCTCGTAATGAGGGACGCGATCTTGCTATTGAGGGTAATGAAATTATCCGTGAGGCTATCAAATGGAGTCCTGAACTAGCTGCTGCTTGTGAGGTATGGAAGGAGATCAAATTTGAGTTTGTATGATATATRTATATATATATATATATATATATATATATATATATATAGCAAATGTATAATCAATGCAACCCAATCAATTGAGATATTTATGTAAATGATGAGAGTTCATTTATTATGATTTGAATATTCGTGGAAGATGACTAGGGTCCATTAATTATGATCAATACTTTATATTAGAAAACAATCTAAACTTTTATGAAATCACATATTAATCAAATTAAATAGACGATTGAGATTGAGTTGTATTGTTGTATAAATGTAAATGGTTGCATAATAACTCAACCCCCCCCCCTCTCTCTCTCTCTCTCTCTCTATATATATATATATATATATATATAGAGAGAGAGAGAGAGAGGGGTTGGTTATTATACAACCTATGATATTTGTGCAACCAATACAACCCAATCTTAACCGTCCATTTGATTTGATTAATATGTGCTTTCATGGAGGTTTTGATTGTTTCCTAATATAAAGTATTGATCATAATTAATAAACCATATTCATCTTCCATAAATATTCAAATTATAATAAATGAACTCTCATCATTTCCATAAATATCTCAATTTATTGAGTTGAATTGGTTGTACAAATGCAACAGGTTGTATTTGAAACAAACTATATATATATATATATATATATATATATATATATATATTCTTTCAAAATTTAAAGATTTTTTCATTCTCTCTTATTTTTAGAAGAGATTTTATCATATATATTGAAGCAAACTTTTACCAAATCTCTAAAATAACATAGTTGTTATAAAGACACTTGTAAGAATTACCATTGGAAAGAGTTCTTATAAGACATTTAGATCTTGAAGTACAAGAGGATTTTTTTCTTATCTTGAACTTTGTATGAAATAATATTTTTAATTTTTTTTTTTACATTTTAATAGTTTTTTATATAATTATTGGTATTGAACAATAATAATATAAAACCTTTAAAACTTCAGTTTTATACAAACTATTATTTTATTTAAGTTTTGAATTAGAAAGAATACAACAACAAAAATTAGAAAAAGTGAGTTGTTATCTAATCGGTTAAAGGACCGTTGACGAATTCGGCAAAGCATATTTAAAGCCTTGATTTCCTCCTTTTTCCTCCAACAACTAAAAACATGTTCAATGTTTCAATCATTTCCTTTATAACCGAAATTTCTAATTTATAAATAAATAAATAAATTTTTAGGATGGAAGCTTTTCGACAAATATATTTATTTATACATAAAATCATAATAACAAAACTATTTTTATTAATTTTTTAATTATAATAATCTTTTGTTATAAAATTGTCCCCTTTGTATGTAAAGTCAAATAGTTTTGATTCCTCCTACTAACAACAGTTATTCTTTCTATATAACTTTAATTAAATGAGCGGGATAAGGTCATTTCCATTTTCCTATTTTTTTAATAAATAATAAATATATTATATTTGTTATATTATGTTGGTCCTAGAATAGTAATGACTAACACAATAAGTGTTTGTAAAATGGGGGGTTGAATGCAAAAACGACAATTTTTCACTTTTTAATTCTATATGTTTATTGGAAACAAAGAATTACATATTTGTTGCGAAAGCTAGGGAGGTAAGGCATGATACTAAACAATCAACATGATGATAAATTTGCTAGTGACTGAAAGAGTAAGAGAAGAATGTACCCTTTCAGATATGAAGTACGGAGATAGTGCTTTAGGTGGTTGACATCAATTTTTCCTAAGAAACAATCACTCAGAATTCCTTTCAAAACGGGTGAGTTGCAACATATGACAATGATGATCTTCTAAAGCTGTTAATACATTAAATGATGTTGTTCAACTTTAACGTGTGCCTTTATTCAATTTGTTGATTAGTGCATGCATATACTCTCCATTTCAGCCTTTGAAAGTGATGAAAGCATTTGTTAACCCAACTCATTCTCTTGTAAGCAGAGGGAACAGTAAAGGTAATATGATACTAATAAAATAGTATTTTACAACTTACTTTATCTAACATGTCAGTGTTGTTTTCATAACATGACAAGAGTTGGTAGAGTTGGTGATCCAAACTTTCTACGCAAGTTTGAACTCCAAAATGGGCTTGCCGGAAGTAGTATTTTTCAGACTACTTTTGACTTTATCTTGTATTGATCTTCTTTCGGCTATATGACAATCCAATCCACTTTGGTAACTATCTTGGCCTCACTTCAGCTAGTCTTCACTTTTGTTGAAAACTTTTTGATCTTGGATCAATGCAGACAACTATAAAACTTTTACAAATGGAAAATCCTATCTATTATTTCTTTCCAAAATATAAGATATATTTCACATTTCAGCAAAACTACTTATAAAGTATAAGACTCCAATGATACAAAAGACTTGGATCATTTGGGCTTTTAGACCTAAGTATGGATGTTACATTCTGATTCCTCATCACGATGTTGAATGTTGTATCTGAATGTCAAATCCATGTGTTGAGTTTCCAACTTTGAGTACTAAATCTGAATGTTGAGAACAAAAAAATCCAAATATTTGATTTTTGAATCAAATCCAAATATCAATTCGGTTGTCAAGTCTGAAGGATACTTGACATCAGTTCAGATACAATAATCCAAATAGACGAATGGATGATACTAAGAATTCTTCTAAGTGTTGGATCAGATGTAATTGTATTTTTATCAAATCAAATGGTTGAGACAAACAATCTCCCCCTATTTGTTAATAATACAAATAGATATGTAAGATAAAATAACACGTAGAATTAAAATGGTACCGAAACTCAATAAACAAATAAATCTGAACTCATAAATTCACTGATCCATTTTTGGATTCTTTGCCTCTTTTATTATTGTTCTTTTTTCTATTTTTCATATGTTTTTGAAGGCTTTTTCTTCATGATTTCCTTTTCTTTTCTTTTCTTCCTTTCTTTTCTGATTCGGAATAATAAACATGTTGTTTATGCAAAAAATTACACAAGTATAAGTTAAGGTATGGATTGCAAGACTAATCAACTAAGCTTAATCGTTCAAAGTAAACAAGACAAACAACGCTGAAAAAGTAAAAGAGACAAAGGATTTAGTAATGCAGAAAACCCCGTCGAGGGAAAAAAACGGATGACAGTAAAGGTCGTCGATGCTATATGGACGTCAAACAGGGACTTCGTTCTTAATAATAAAGATTTCAAGGAAGGGTCATGGAAAACCACCGCATCTCATGTGTAAACTAAGAAAACAACAGTAAAATCTTCAGATGCAATTGGAGACTGTTCTCCATTTTATGTCTTGTGAATAATCCAAGAGCATTCAGTAGCAGATATATGTATTCTAATGACTCGTTCATGTCCTTCGCTTGTATATGCTTGGGTTCTTTATTAAGTTTTTTGTTTAGTAATTAACAACGATCATCCTTAAATGCATTTTAAGTTATAACGTTCGTGTCTTAATGATGAGTGTAATACCTTTCTTTAGTTACTTCAGGCTCATAGATGAGGTGTATCTTTGTAATTATTCTTCAAGACTTGCAAACAATGATAGAAATAACGGTTGTCGAGGAAAAATATGCGTTAGTAAGATTTCAACATCGACTAATCATCGAGGTTAGTCGAAGAAAATATTATTTAGAAGATATCTACTATCATTGGTCGCTTGTCGTGATATCTTGGTCATTGTGGTTATCAACGATTACTTGTTGATATAGGTCCCGTTGAGGATATTTTCTAATGGCGGGCGTGATTTTTTACCCAAACAATTTTCCCCCCGTGATTTGAATTTTAAATATGTCTTTTAGTTTTCAAATCTCGTGCCAAGAGTCGGTTTTTTGGAGATTTGACACGTGTAAACCTTTTGGTAAGTGGAAACCTCTATCAGTTAATGAATCGCTCTCTAAGGCTCCTTTAGCAATCCAACCTGTTGCTGAAGAATTTGTTACTGATGCCTCATCTTCTATGCTTGTGCTCCCAATCTCAAAAGGTTATCTTTAACCAGCTCAGCGATGGATGAAAGACCATGCATTCCATCAAATTCTTGGTGATCCAAGTACAGGTATTCAGACACGTCGCGGTCTACGTAATATTTGTCTCTTTGTCAACTTTCTTTCTTTATTTCAGCCCAAAAATCAATAAGGCTATCATTGACCCAAAGTGGGTCACTACTATGCAAGAAGAACTCATTGAGTTTGATAGAAACAAAGTCTAGTACCTTGTCCTGCATTCATCTGACAAAACTGTGATAGGCACCAAATGGGTTTACCGCAATAAGTTAGATGAACAAGGAATTGTAACCCGAAACAAGGCTCGTCTTGTTGCTCAGGGATACAGGCAAGAAGAAGGAATCGATTATGATGAAACCTTTGTACCAGTGGCTAGACTTGAAGCTATGCAACTCTTCCTAGCCTATGTTTCCCATAGGGACTTTAAAGTCTACCAAATTGATGTAAATAGCGCTTTTCTGAATGGAAAATTTCAGAAGAAAGTTTATGTTGAACAACCTCCATGTTTCTTTACCCAAATATCCTAATCATGTCTATAGATTTGATAAAGCTCTTTATGGGTTAAAACTGGCCCCTCGTGCCTGGTATGACACCCTTTCTTCGTTTCTCATCTCTGAGAAATTTGTCCATGGAAAGATTGACCAGACCCTATTTCTTAGGAAAGTCAAGGGTCATATCATTCTAGTCCAAATTTATGTCGATGATATTATATTTGGTTCTACTAATCCCTCTTTGTGTTTGCGGTTTGCTGAATGCATGAAGAAAGAATATTAGATGAGCATGATAGGAGAACTAACTAACTTTCTAGGTCGTCATATCAAACAACCAAATAAAGGTATCTTTATCAATCAGAGTAAGTATGTTAGGGATATGTTGAAGAAATTCGACTTAACCAACAGTTCATCTATGAATACTCTAATGGCTCCTCCTCTCTCGCTGAACAATGATTCAAATGGAAAGCCTGTAAATGTTACTGTTTATAAAGGAATGATCGGCTCCTTGTTGTATCTCACAGCTAGCTGACAAGATATTATGTAC